ATTTTAAACATTTATTAGCGTCTTTTTTTTCAATTCATATTATTATTTTATATTCTATAAATTGATTGCATAACATTTTGAAAGCTTAAGGATATTATTACAGATTGTGTGTGAATCATAAGTATTGGGTGAGAACAATAATATTTATTTGCATTGTATTACACAATAAGAAAATGCTTTATATGCATTCTCAATTGCCCAAGTACTGTGTGCGTAATTTTATTGCTTTGCTATCTTTTGTATTTTAATTGGTACACAAAGAAATGAAACAATATCGATTAATTAAAAAGAAGAATGAGTCACTAAATAATCCACAATTAGATAAATATTTTGAAAATATGGATGATTTCCATTGCATCTGTAGCTCAATTTTACCTGGCACTTTGGATAATGAGGTATTATCTTTTTTTTCTTTCAAATATTATTGTATATTTTATAATTGTTATTTATGTTATTTTCTAGGGTTCAATCTTCAATAAGGATTTATTAATTCTAACAGGAAGTTTTGCAAAACAATGTATAGTTAAACAAATTCTTACAGAAGGTGAAAAATATGTGATGTCTATTAGCCCAGTTTTGTCTTTCAGTGATCAAGCAACTTATGATATTGTGAATAATTTAGGCAGTATCACAGCAAAGGTACATAATGCATAGGATTTATCATAGAGCATTCATTGCATTTTAGTTGTTCCTAACACAAATTAACTTTTATTTGTTATTAATAATAAAATAATGTTTTTTATTTAAGATTTATTTTCAAACCTATAGAAGACAGTGGTTACTTTTATTTCACTCAAATGGTTAATAGAGATGACAAGTTGAGCATGCAAGATAAGGTAAAGAAATTTTGTACAAATTGAACTAAATAATTATATTATGAGGTTTAATATTTATATTATTTAGATAAAGTTACAGAGTCGACAGAAGTACTTACCCAGTTGTGCAAAGTAGTATCTTCCATTGGTTTGCTGGTCTTGGGTATATGGCCAGAGCTATGCTGCTTCATTATTATTATTATATGGTGGTGCTGATTTTGTTGAAGGCGGATTACCAATATTACTGCTTCGATGTCATTGTTTAGCTATCGTGTTGCTTGCAGTAAATGGCGTTACTGAATGTTATAGTTTTGCAACAATGACATCCAAACAACTAGACAAGTAAGTGCCACATAGATTTACTAATGAGTACATAATGATATTCATTATTAGTATTCTATTAATAATCTGTTGAGTGAATAAATCTTAACGCTTAGAAAAATATATAATACACATTTATTTTCAGATATAACTATTACTTGCTGGGATTTTCTGTATCTTTTCTTACAATGTCGTATGTGTTTACATATTTATTTGGTCCAGTTGGATTTATTCTTGCAAATTGTCTCAATATGTTTGTACGAATTTGCCATAGCATACACTTCATTGCGGATAGGTATAAAGACGTAAAACAAAATCCATTATACAGAATATTTCCTGGAGCAAAGTTTTTGACATGCTTGATAGTATTCGGAGTTATAACTTAAATATCAGAGGTAACTAATTTATAAATATTTTTAAAACATGTGGCAAAAGCGTATTTTTATATTGCAGGAAAAACTCATTCCTGGGCAGTTGTTATTTTCATATTATTATAGGAATGATTTGTTTTGCTATAAATCTTTTAGTCTGGGGATATGAGAATAAAAGTTTAATACATGCAGGATATGAAAAAATTCTCAAAAAGAAATTGAAATAGAGAATATAATAATTTAAAACCATTTTTCATTCATTAACATTTTTAATAATTTATACATTGTGTGTCTAAATATTTTTTTAATGTTTTAATGTTTTATATGATTATTTTGTTTTTACCATTTATCTACATTAGATTCTTTTAAAAATTGCTGTTGTTATGTTCTCCTGTTTCTGTATTATACATTGCCTAGTAAAACCACAAGGTTGAATTAAGTTTTATTGTAATAGTAATATTCTTGTATAATGTTATGAACTTATACCTGTTATCTGCTTCCAAATGTATTATTGGAGGTTTTTTCATTGGCTGTATTTTGCACGATAAATCTGATAATGCCACAACAAATCCTGTGGTAGATGGACTAACTTTGCCCCTAGCTACAAAATACAAATCCATAATATAAATATGAAAAATAATTTAATAATTGAGATAAAAAAATTATTACATCCAAGACATAGTCCTTGTTGATCAGCAAATAAGCATCCTGTGACATTTGGTCTGGATAATCTATATTGAAAAAGAATATATATGAAGAATAAAAGAAAATGTAGATACAAAATATGTATAATTGGTGTGTGAAGGGAGTGAGACATCCTGAATCAGTTTTCAAGGTATGAGGCAATTAAGTGAAAACGAATTAGAAAAGAAGAAAATTTCAGTTTAATGAAAGATTTTAAACACTTAGTCAAAAATAACCTAACTCACATATCATCCATTACTTCGTCTAAAGCTTTTTCCATATTTGTGTATAAGTTCCTGACTATTAAAGAACAAGAAATCAATATAATATCACATTGAGAAATGCATTAGTTTCTAAGAAGAAATACATCATATAGGCAAAGTCATATCGATAAAGTTTGACAGATTATAGAGCAGGGATATTCAAGCTTTGTATCATACTACTTATTGAATTACATTATCTTATCAAACATAGAAACTTATGTCATGTTTATTAATATGATAAAGGATAGATTTTTATTAGCACAAGAGCATTATAAATAATATTTTAAACAGAATCATACAAATGTGGCGGCAATTAAGTTAGGTTGGCCATCACTGCAAAACAATAAGGGTAATGCATGACTGCTTAAACTTTTCATTAGTAGATGTCGCTATATGCCACAATTTGATAATAATGTTTGTTTTTTGCAAAATTTGGGATTTAACATTTAGTTTAGAAATATCTAAATAGAAATTGTGAATTGTGAAACTTATCAATAATTTTTTAAAAGCATTTGCGAACAAAATTCCTATTTCGACATGTGATCAGAAATTTGTTCGACTATGGCAATATTAATATGAAACACAGGAGGCCATATTGGCTGTATGTCAAATGTACTTGCTCGTAAAAGTAACGTAAAAGTAATCTCTCGTAATTGTTTGATTTTCATCGAAACTTGCAGACATAATATACTGCATTTGTGATTAAATCAAGTGATTTTATACTGTTTACAAATGGTTATTGTGCACTCATAATTTGATTATCATTGTGCAGTTTTGATCAACACGTAAGTTTTTGTCATTTTGATATGCACCGTTAGTTATTTTATAATGTATAATTTTTATATTGATATTTTTGTGGAAAAAAATTAGTAATTCTTTTACGAATTGGTAATTTATCATTCATTTGACTCAATTAGTAGTCCATACGTCATTTCGCGCATGACTCATTGCGCACAATTTTTTTTTACTAGATGCGGTAACTTTTATTGTTTTAAATATGTTCATGTATGTTCTTAATATAAAAGTTTGTCCTTTATATAAATTAAACCGATTAGTTTGTTTATTAAATTTTAACGTGATTACTTGTTGATGTTCGTTGTTGCGACACCGATTTCTACACCGAAGAATTGCACAAACGTATAATTAAAATGTAACAAATAATTTAATCATGCAAAATCGTATAAGAGCTGTTCTATCACGATTTTCTTATAAATTGATTTTTTTGTTTGTAAATTTATTGTAATAATTATTAAGAAAATGGTTTTCGTTAAAATTGCTGACTTACGATTCGTGAAAGTCGTATTTGTTGTTAGTTTATGAGAGTGACTTTTAATAATGTACTTATCACGCAATAACTTGGTTAATTAACTTAGTTCTTTTGTTTGGTAATATATTTTATTTATTTACCATAATGGTTAAAAATTACTTGTTCCAATGCGTTTTAACTTCCCACAGAAGATATTTCATTGTTTATGTTAACGTCGATTTGTTGTTTAATCCGATTTTCCTATATTATGATTTCTCGACGTTCCAAATAATTGTGAATCGTTTGGCACCAAAAGTAAAAACATATGTTTGTGTTTGTCAGTCAAAATTTGGCTTTTCGACGATGTTTCCTAAAAATTCTTGTTTCCTAAAAAATGTGCATATTTTTTCGTCCAAAAAATCCTAAACCGATTTTGAAAAATTATATACCGTTTGATCAGTTTGTGATCGCGTTAAAAATGAGTATAAACATCTATGTAAATAACTATATATATTTTATTTTTATTTTAATTTTAAATTTGTACATACTGCACATATAATATCTACTCACAATTGACTTTGTATAATTTAGTTTAAGTTTTGATTGCAATTTCTACTGTTATTCTAAATTTAGTACTACTTTATACTAAATGAGTATAAAGGGAGCATTTGCATCCAGTTATGTAGCACAAATTTATTATTTTATAATCTTTGCCAAAAGGTTAATGGAAGTACAAGCCTTTGTAGATAAATATAACCCATGATCTAGTGTACGAGTTTTTGAATAATCTTTCATGATGTTCTGGTACAAATTTCCAAGCTTCAGTAATGGTAATATTCTAACTCTGGACTGAAAAATAAGTATAAAAAATAGATCTTAGAAGAAGTTATCTATAATTTGTTTTTATCTGTTGTTATAATCATTGGAACAAGTGTGATTCAAGTTTTGTTTGAACTCTTATGCAAATATTATTAAGAATAATAATATTGAGGATCTTTTTCTCTGGGATTTCGAAGTCGTTATAGTTTTATGTCAAAGGCTTATATCAAACTCGGTGTATATTATTTATTTTAAGAATCATCTTAGTTTTCTTTCTATTTTATTATTTGGATGGATGTCTGATAAAAGGTTTTTTGTTTTATTAACATATTTATCACCATCTGAAAAATTATTGCACGCTCACACCCCCTTATATGTTTGAAATATTTTGCAGCCTAATCGTTGAATTAAAAGAAGGTTAAAATAGAAAATTTTTTTAGTCTATTAAACGTTTCGATACTTGATGTGTGTCATCATTCAGTAATCGAACCAGGAAAAACACAAAAAATATAAAATGTATTAAACACTAAACTTGTGCAACAGAACAACATAACTAATAAATAATTAATTTACAAGAAAATTATTAGCACATCATTTCCCCATATATAAGCGTGTTCATTGCTCAACGACATACAGAGCAAAAAAACATTTTTAATATTTTAGTGATTTCAGTGTTTAATAAATTTTATATTTCTTTGTGTTTTTCTTGTGTTTGATTACTGAATGATGACACACATTAAGTGTCGAAACATTTAATAGAATAAAGTTTTCTATTTTAACCTTCTTTTAATTTGACGATTGGGCTGCAAAATACTTCAAATATGTATCAACATCGACAAAACTATCAACATTTGTATATATATATATATATATATATATACATATATAAATGTATTTGTATAGGCACATTGATATATATTTGGTGTATATTATTATTTTTTATTCCATAAGTACAGACGTAAATGTCGATCCGTGACTTGAAGCGTTTCGCTTCAGATAACATTTTATATTTCACATATTTCGTGCCACAAACTATGTAACTATATGTCGATATATATATATACGAGGTCTGTTCAAAAAGTACCCGGAATTACTAATAATTAAATTTCGCGGGTCTGGAGTGTCTGATTGTCAAAATTTTTTTTTTATTGTGTTGGTATACATGCCCCTAAAGTATGATGAAATTTTCAGCTATATTCACTGTTTACTTTGTCTGTGGTAGTCGCTAAGGTTCGACGTGTTTTTCTGAGCACGGCGATTTTTACAATGGAAGAATTGAAAAGTCAAAGAATTTGTATTAAATTTTGCGTAAAAAATGAAATAAAGTGTTGCAAAGTGCAAAAATTCACCAGATATGGCTCCGTGTGACTTTTTCCTATTCCCAAAGTTGAAGAGACCCATGAAAGGACGGCGTTTTCCTCGATTGAAGAAAATCGCTGAGAGTGCTCAAGGACATATCAAAAAGTGAATATCAAGGGTGCTTAGAAAATTGGAAAAAACGCTGGCATAAGTGTATTATATCTGGGGGGGACTACTTTGAAGGGGACCACATTAATGTAGACGAATAAATAAATATTTTTTTGAAAAAACGAAAATTCCGAAAATTTTTTGAACAGACCATGTATATATATATATATATATATATATATATATCGCATATAGTGCATTGTTAGCTGACGACTGATAATACTTGAATAAACTGATAATATTTGAATAAACCAGATATTTATTACATTATAGCGAATCATTAATGCTAAATAGTTTAAAATGCGTTAAGTTTTAACCTATTGGTTCGGGCTCTTTATTAACCATATAAATTTAATAAAATTCTGTTTGAGTAGAAATCTAATAGTCCATACCTAAGGCGTACGACTTGTGGATATTCATTCATATTATTAATGTTATTTGCAAGTAGTTATGATGATCATTTAAAAGTTAAACTATTATCATATTTTGTTAAATTGATCTGACTGGTTTTTGCTCGTGGTCTCTAGAATCTTCAACATTTTCACAAGGATATTTGTGTCGTATAAAAAGGTTGGGTATAACAATAGAATCCAAAATGTTTTATTCGATTTTGAATTTGATTGATCCTGGACTTCTCTACATTTAATATCATTGAATTTTATCTTTTAATTTCTTTTCTGACATCAATTTTAATCTTAAAATTATTTTTAATACATCAAATTCTAGAAATATATACAATTTAAGGCTATCGTTTTATTTTATCAATTTGCTTTAATACGTGTGTGTTGAAGGATAACAATTAATATAACAAAATATTATCAAAACTTCATTCACTTCAATGTTATGTCTGTATTTATTATTTACTTTAACATAAAATAGTTTCACTTTCAATTTTAACTCTCATGGTCATAAAATATTTCTACATTCGTTACATACAATCATGTTGTGATATACAAGATGATTCATGTGGCACATGTGGATTTTAGGAGATTTTTAGCGTAATTTATTCTTATTACTCATTTTTTGATATTTTAGAATTTATATCACAAATATATATTTGAAAAAATACTTTTTATCTTCAGACCAATTTTTTTCAATTTATAATTTTCTTCAATTTTTGTTCTGATCACTAATTGTGAAATTTTATACATATTTTAATATTACAAAATTAGTGGAAAGGATTTTCATTATTCTACCGAATTTGTCTTTGTAAAATAGAATTAACAATATCAATCATAGGGTTCTGAATGAAGAAAAAAATAAATCCAATTTAAATAACCAAAGGTAAATCTTTTGATAGTGAAAAATGACGACTAATTATTTAGAAAGTTTTAAAAAATTATAAGTATTTAGTAGGGGAAATGCGGATAAAATGGTATATTTGGACAAAATGGTATATATGGACAAAATGACTCAGTGGCATTATTTAAAAATTGACTAGTTTTTGCAACGTTTTTATGACTGTATAACGAAAGCTGTAATCTCAATCTTGTCAGATGTTGAGCGTCATTGTCAAAGCCTTGTCGTAGTAATCAGTTGTAGTTGGCAACTTATTTAATGTTATTTGTAATTATTTCTGTTAAGATCAA